TAACTACGTGAAATAGTAGTGGAATGTCACTTACCGGAAAAAATGGAGCCAAGTCCTCCTACAGTGTCGGTTAGTGCAGTTTATAGCAGAGCAACCCATTTTATGTACGATATTTCAAATCAGAGATCAGAGAATGTCTAATATGTAGACGGGCTTGGTGGTCTGATGTGTTGTGTCAGATCGGCGGCATCCCGTTATCAGCTGTCAATCAAAGTTAACCACGCCTTTATTTGTCACACATTTTACATCTAAATACGACCTAAACTAATGAGTTAGAAAAAAGTCACCCCCCTCACAGTTGTCAGGCACTCGGAACCTATCGAAAAATACAATAAAAGTCCATGGGACCAACCTGTAAAAACATGAATTTATGCTGTGAAAACCGATGAAAACGGACATTTTAACATGGGGGTCTATGGACATTTGCTCCCTTTTGGGACCTGCCCCTAGTGGATTTTCGATGTATTGCAGTTTTTCGCACTTCCGGGTAGGCTTCATTTTTCAGATTAGAATGTCGCCGCTTGGCAGTAACCATAGACTGTAAAAAATAATTTACAATATTACTCTGAGCTTAATGCTCATTGGTTTAAACAACCGTGATGTATTGTTCTCTTTAAAAAAAAAAAAAAGATTAAAACTCTGACATCATGTTTTATGTGTATACGTATGTTATGTGAATAAAGTGGTTTTACATATTGTAGAATATCTTGAGCATTGTAATTTTTGAAGCATATGTCATAGCAAATGTCAGGAAGATTTTAAAACGAGTGGTTTAATTATAAATCAGTGAATAGTGAATCAGCCACCTACGACACCAAAGGCGGCTATCTCATGAATCACACTTGCTAATACATTTAAATTCTGTTACTATTATATAAAAGTAATAATGAACAAGGCCCACTTTGATTTTCCCCACTGATGATTGAAGAAGCCCGGCATATGTCACCAGAGAGACAGTTTGAGTAAACGTTATGAGGTCAAAGAAAATTTAAAAAGTGAAACATACACTATAAAAAATTGTTCACTCAACTTAACTTTCTGAGTTATCTTTTTGCTTTGATTTAAGTTATGTACTTAGAATATTACGTATATCATCTTAAAAGGTTTTGTTGGCATAATTAAATAATTGACCCAGCTAATTTCATGTAAACTGGATTTAAAAATTTAAGTTGAAATATTAAAAAACTTACTTTTTCAAGTTGTCTGTACTAAATACAAACGACTTTGTCAACTGTTTCCCTTATAAATTAACAAATTTAAAGATCAAACCAGTCAAATATCCAAGAGTTTCAATAGCCAGCGTTTAACATTTAAATAAACAGGAAAAAAAGGTCTCTTTTTGTCTAAGAAAATTAGCTTTCAATTGTTTAGTGTTTAAAGGTGACAATGTACTTAAACCAATGAAAAAGGATCAAAATGGAAGTTACATTATACTTCACAGAGACTTCTAAGAACGACTAGTCTCAGCCTCAGACGTCACGCCCACGGAACGTTGGCTAAACGTCTGATGCATATGGTGCACTTAACTGGAAACACTTCAGGAATGTCGAAGTCGTCATCTGATTGGTTGAATTTGATCGGATTTCCGGGGGGTGCGAGTGTCGCGTTTATTTTCGGTCTGCCGGGAAACAAAGCGCAGACGTGTGATTGCGGAAGAAAAACTGTTGTGTTTACATGAGTGACAATGAGCATTTATCAAGATCAGCTTAACGTAGGATTCTCAAAAGTATGCGAGGTTCACGGCGTAGACTCTTTAAGAGATGTCCAGGAGTTTTGTTTGAGGCACTTAGTGGAGACAAAAAGAAATATTTTAGCCTGTTTGCCGACGGGATTTGGGAAGAGTATTATTTTCCAAGCCTGGCCGACCCTTTGTCAGCATTTATAAGGATTCCCAGCAGATCCAACTTTACTAGTTGTGTGTCCCCTCCTATCTATTACATAGCTGTCAACCCTCCCGTTTTTCCGGGTTTCTCACGTATTTTAGCTCTTTTCCCGCTGTCTTCCCGTTTTATTATTTTCCCGTAAAATATCCCGTATTTTTACGCTCTGATTGTGTGAGACATGCTCGGGCAGATTCGGCTTGAAGTCGTTCATCCTCGGATGCGGCGCCGCGCGCGCTGTTACAAAAAAAGCTGTGCACACAGCCAAGCGAAATGGGGTCTTGCCGGTCTTGCGCACCCAACGCGTAATCTTTGCCGCGCTCGTGCGGACGCGTCAAGTATAAACAATTATACTCCGTGTCAGCGCGCGCTTTGATCGGTAAAGGAGCACTGACCTCTCCCTAATCATCTCCAGCAGCCCCCGAAGCACCACGTACCGTTTCCCTCGTAAACTGATATTATAGTATTTAAACATTCTCTGATAAAAAATGACACACTTTCTCTAATACACACACACACTGTCTCTTTCTCTCTCACTCATTTGTAGTTATAAACTCTTTAGACTTTTAATGATTAGTGCTTTATTTTTAGTTTGTGGTGGGTAAGAAAAATTCCCTTATTTTGGGGATGGATTCCGGGAAATCTCCCTTATATTCAATGTTCAATGTTGACAGCTATGATCTATTATGGAAGATCAAGTGAAATACCTAACTGTGAAGGGGATATCAGCCGCGTTTGCGGGCAAACATGAAACAACAGACGCTGACATCGCAGCTGGCCGATTCAGTATTGTGTTCGGTTTTCTTCTCCTCCTTTGATTTTCTATGCTGACTGACTTGTTGCACGCCGGTCTGTTGTTGTGGGGACATTTCCACGTGACGCTGAACGAAACGAACTGTAATTGGTTGTTTGACATGTCGGTCAAACGGCCTTATGGGCGGGCCTTGGCCAAAGAAAGCTGCTATGAGTTCCAGACCTTCAGCCGTCAGTCTGAAGGTCTGGCTACGCGAGACTAAAGAACGACGACTTCTCCAATAGGAGGGCTACATCACTGCAGTCGCACGTAACCGCCACTCTTTGTCAGGGTGGGAAAAGAGGAGGAATCAGTTGCAGGAATAACTGATTTATTGAATATCAAAAGGCATACAAAAACAGGAACACAGGGAGGAATAATATATTTAATATATTTGAATATAATTCAGTATATCTGAATATATTCAGCATCATATTCAAAACAGTAAAAAACCTTCTCTAAAAATCAGGTTAAAAAGTACATAAACAGAATTTAAAAATATTTAAATACATGAAAAATACTCTATAACAATTAGATGAATACAAGCACTACAGATTGTTGTTGTTTTTTCACCAGTAGGGGGTCCCATAAACGTTCAAGTGGTGTAACTTCACCAAACATTACATAAAAAACAGTCCAAAATCTTCTCCAGCTGGTTTGCTGTCCGTTTTTTGTTGAGTTTAACAATTTTTATGTTCTCCTGTAGAACTTTCTTTAAATTCCCTCTTTTTTAAAGAGACAGTAAGATATGTATTTTAACAATCAAGCTTTCTACATTTCTCACACATATAGACATTAAATATAAAACAGCAGTTTAACATTTACAAAATCTATAACAGTAAAAAAAAATAGGCTCCATCTAAAAAACTATGTAACCCGAAACAATATAATCTGAAAAAAGGAACTGTGAAAGACAGTACAAAAAAACATATGGTTTCCTAATGCTTTAAAACAAGTCGGTGAGACTTGTGACAAAATTATGGAAATTCAGCATCACTCATTGTTATTCAAATGCAACTGCATTTTAGACCCTCAAAGGAAAGAATTTAAAATGGAAAACATTGACACTTCTTAAAAATAAAATCACAGATCCTGCTGGTTAAAATGTAAAAATCGAAGACATTCATGTTTCTGTGAGCGTTGTGCTGTTAATGAAAACGAAAATACAAAAGCAAAATTGCAAAAATAAACTAAACTACAACTTAAAAATTACCACGTTTTATTTTAGATTTGAGTTTTTTTAGTATATCAAATTGTATCAAAAGATATGCAATATATTATACAGTTCAATATAATACTAGAATTACTAACACTGAAAGCTAAAACAAAAACAAAATTGTATAAAAACATTTTTCACTAATTAAATCGCTAGTAAAACTTTCCCAATTAATTACAAAGAAATGTCAAATTGAGTTAAAGGGTTGGTTCACCCAAAAATGAAAATGATGTCATTAATAACTCACCCTCATGTCGTTCCAAGCCCGTAAGACCTCCGTTCATCTTCGGAACACAGTTTAAGATATTTGAGATTTAGTCCGAGAGCTTTCTATCCCTCCATTGAAAATGTATGTACGGTATACTGTCCTTGTCCAGAAAGGAAATAAAAACATCATCAAAGTAGTCCATGTGACATCAGTGGGTTCAGAAAATACATTTTGGTCCAAAAATGTATTCATCATTGTATTCTCTTCCGGTTCTGTTCTTCACGAGTCCGCGGTGGCGCTGTTGACGTAATGCTGCCAGATAACTGGTTACCAGACACACGTGAGCAGCGTCTTACGTCAACAGTGTCACCGCGGACTCGTGAAGAACAGAACCGGAAGAGAATACAATGATGAATAAAGTCGTAGTTTTTGTTATTTTTGGACCAAAATGTATTTTCGATGCTTTAAAACATTCTAACTAACCCACTGATGTCACGTGGACTACTTTGATGATGTTTTTATTTCCTTTCTGGACAAGGACAGAATACCGTACATACATTTTCAATGGAGGGACAGAAAGCTCTCGCACAAAATCTCAAATATCTTAAACTGCGTTCCGAAGATGAACGGAGGTCTTACGGGCTTGGAACGACATGAGGGTGAGTCATTAATGACATCATTTTCATTTTGGGGTGAACTAACCCTTTCAGCTTGAAATTTTGAAAAGTAGAAAGTTTCGAATGGTATTTTCTTTTAAAACTTCAATAATCTTTGTTTTATTAAAATCTTTACTTCTACAGTGTGTCAAAGAGCGAAACCTAAACTGAAAGGACTCGAAATTAAAACAGAATTAACTCTGACTATAACACATCCACTAGTCTTATATAATCTGCATAGAATCTGAGGCATTCTTACTGCCGAGTGAAAGTGCGTCAAACCTCCACAATCCAACAGTGACTGATGTGACAGACGCTTTTGGTTTAATATCCGGTCTTCGGTGGCTGCATGTAGGCGGGGTTATAGGCCAGCTGATCGAATTTCTCTGGGGACGGATAAGCGATATCGGGCTGGGCAGGGGGCATCATGGGGTACGCTGCCTGACTTCCGTCATATGGAGCCTGACTGCTGGGATATCCAGGGTTTGCTGGAAATGCAAAAAGACACAAATTATTTAAGGAAAATACCAGTACATGGTATCAGTCTGTCTAGTACTAGCCTAGGTAGGGGTTGCACGACTACTGATTTCTCCTAGTTAGTTGCAAAACAATAGTTACTTGAGCACCTGTGGTTTATGTTACAGTTTAAAAAAAGGCAAAAAAAATAACAGTACGTGCCAACAAGTGTTTATTAATTGACATCCCAACAATTATGTCTTACTCGTATTGTAAAAAGAGGGCACACTTAATTTGCACTTACGGTCTTGTGGACTTCACAAGTGTTCAACACTAGACCGCCACAAGTGTTAATTTTTACAGTTAGCCTAGGGGTATTATACATCATTCGCATCCTCATTTACAGTGCATCCGGAAAGTATTCACAGTGCTTCACTTTTTTCCATATTTTGTTATGTTACAGCCTTTTTCCAAAATGGATTAAATTCATTATTTTCTTCAAAATTCTACAAACAGTACCCCATAATGACAACGTGAAAGAAGTTTATTTGAAATCTTTGCAAATTTATTACAAATAAAAAACGGGAAAAAAATCACATGTACATAAGTATCAGCCTTTGCGCAATACTTTGTTGAAGCACCTTTGGCACCAATTACAGCCTCAAGTCTTTTTGAGTATGATGGTACAAGCTTGGCACACCTATTTTTGGGCAGTTTCTCCAATTCCTCTTTGCGGAACCTCTCAAGCTCCATCAGGTTGTTCACTGTAGGGATGGTATTGGCGAGGTGATGAGCGGTGCCTGGTTTCCTCCAGACATGACGCTTGCCATTCAGGTCAAAGAGTTCAATCTTTATTTCTCATGGTCTGAGAGTCCTTCAGGTGGGCTGTCCTCAGAGCTCTGTCAGAGTGCCCATCGTGTTCTTGGTCGCCTCCCTGACTAAGGCCCTTCTCCCCCGATCGCTCAGTTTGGCTGGACGGCCAGCTCTAGGAAGAGTCCCGGTGGTTCCGAAATTCTTCCATTTACGGATGATGGAGGCCACTGTGCTCACTGGGACCTTCAATGCTTCAGAAATGTTTCTGTACCCTTCCCCAGATCTGTGCCTTGATACAATCCTGTCTCGGAAGTCTACAGACAATTCCTTGGACTTCATGGCTTGGTTTGTGCTCTGACCTGCACTGTTAACTGTGGGACCTTATATAGACAGATCTGTGCATTTCAAAATCATGTCCAATCAACTAAATTTACCACAGGTGGACTCCAATCAAGTTAGTAGAAACATCTCAAGGATGCACTTGAGCTCAATTTTGAGTGTCATGGTAAAGGCTGTGAATTAGTAGTGGGAAGTTCGGATCATTTTGCTGACTCGGATCTTTGAGTCTCGTTCAGCAAAATGAACGAATCTTTTTTCGAGTCATTTCGTTCATTTCAGCATAATATAATTAAAATGGCATGTTAAATATCCCGCCACATCTTTTACGAAAATGTTGATTACGTTTGTAAAAAGAATAATAATAAACTATAGGGCAATGCAGCCAAAGCCAAATTATAAGAAACCGAAATTTTTATTAATTGATTAGTTGTTGGGTCTTAAGTTCAGGCTATTGCAGTCTAATTCTGTTAGTTCACCTCACCTCCTGATCCGAGACGTTCTTTCCTTTGCAACTTCATATTTATCAGGTGTGTTCTCCTCTCGTGTCGTTCTCGACTCGTCAGTGTCTAACTCTGATCTGTGCTGTCTGCTGGGCCGTGCCGTGTGTGATACAGCAGGGCCGGAAAGAGAAATGATTAGTTCATCTTTCGAGTCTCGAGTTCGGCCGGGTCCGAGTCTTTCGTTCTTCCTGTCAGTCCCATAGAGGCTATGCTGTCAGTACCGGAAAGAGTAATGATTAGTTCATTTTCTTCGAGTCTTCGGGTTTGAGTCCTTCGTTCTTTTGTCATGTGACCGCTGGTATCTCCCATCAAATACAACATTAGATTCGTATTATTGACTGCGTCTGAATGTATATTGTTTTATATTTAGGATTTAAAATACAAAATATGTGAAATAAACATTATCTGAAAAATAAAAGTTCCATCTTATTATATTCAGTGTCTCTTTTCTAAATGTTTCGTGTGCATCTGTGGTGTGTTTTATTATATATATTATACATTAATTAACTACTATTATATTATACATTAACTACGTGCTTGTTTGTAAGAAGGTTGTGAATTAGTAGGCTATTCAATACGGTGACAAGTCACGTGACAAAAGAACGAAGGACTCAAACCCGAAGACTCAGAAAATGAACTAATCATTACTCTTTCCGGTACTGGCAGCATAGCCTCTATGGGACTGACAGGAAGAACGAAAGACTCGGACCCGGCCGAACCCGAACTCGAGACTCGAAAGATGAACTAATCATTACTCTTTCCGGTACTGACAGCATTGTCTCTATGGGACTGACAGGAAGAACGAAAGACTCGGACCCGTCCCGAACCCGAAGACTCGAGAGAGATGAACTAATCATTTACAGATTCAGAAACCATAATTGCGCAATGGGCATGCGCGGTCAACCCAAAATGAACGAATCACTCTCTGAGACAACTCGGTAGTCCCGAGTCATATTAAAGATTCGTTCAAAATGAACGAATCGTTCATGAACGACACATCACTACTGTGAATACTTATGTACATGACATGTCATTTTTTATTTTTAATAAATTGTCAAACATTTCAAACAAACTTCTTTCATGTTGTCATTATATGTATTCGTACTACATTCGTCATGTTGTCATTATGCAGTCGTGGCCTAATGGTTAGAGAGTCAGACATGTAACCTGAAGTTCTGGGTTCGAGTCTCAATACCAGCAGGAAATGACTGAGGTGCACTTGAGCAAGGAACCTAAACCCCAATCGCTTACAGGGCGCAACAGCAAAATGGCTGTCCATCGTATTCACACTTCAGAATCTCACCGGGTCATCCGGGTACTTTTTGCCTACTCAAAAGTACTGTGAATTCGATCATACTTCGTTTGTCACATACTGTTTTCCCCCTACTATGGAAGTAAGAGATTTCAGACACAGTAACTCTCTTTGGTCGCATTCATGGCTTGCTGGTTTGCTTTTAGTGAATAAAAACAAGTGCATCATTATGGTTACTGTACGCTCGAGTACTCGATGGCTTCAGACAGCCGCGACTACTGGTGGAAGTATTCGACTACCCAACAAACCAGTGAATGCAATCTCTAGTACAGGGGTGCAAAACTCAGCTCTATGCCGAGTGCACGCCACGTGCGAAGTCGTAGCTCTCAGAAAATTACCAGTTTACACGTTGTAATTACAAGTTCTATATGTATACGTGAAGGCTTTTTACAGTTGGCGTGAACACACCTTTAGCTTCAACCCTACTTAAACGCACCTGATTCAGCTGATCAAGCAGGCTTATTTGAAAACTACAGGTATGTGTGTGTTGGAGTAGGATTGGTTTTTCTCCCCTGCTCTAGTGCTAGGTGTTCTCACCGGCCATGTGGTATGGTGGTGGGGGTCCTGGTGCGTATGGCTGTCCCTGATATGGTCCCGTCTGCATAGGCTGAGCGCCGTAGCCCGGTTGAGTCGGGACAGGCTGGTATGCTGGATACTGAGCGGGCTGCATGACAGGCGGCGGCTGCTGCTGCTGAATGCATTGTGTATTCATGACTGTGGTTATATGTGCTCCTGCCACAGCTGTGGGAATAACAAGACAGAGACATTTTTTTTATAATTCTTATCATTTTACTACCAGCCTAAACGTTCTATTGACACTAAAACACTTACGTCTGGGTTTTCTGCACATTTTATACATAAAGCAGCAGGGGCAGCAGCAGCAGATGATGAACACAACACATGTGACCACAATCCCCACTATTCCTAAAACAATGATGATGACATCACTGTTTTGGCTGTTGGACAGATTATGAAAAAAAATGAAGCAACAAGCATTATAAACACTCTTATCATGTTCTAGTATATTTCATCTATAAAATCGTGTTTATACATTATAATTTTATTTCTTGATCATCATTTTATTAATTTGTTTTATTTATTAATTATTTATTTTTCTATGGATTGGACATTTGAATTCACTTCTACACTCTTAAAAATAAAGATTCTTTATTGGTATCTATTGTTTCATGAAGAACCTTTACATGCATGGAAACTTTTCATTGGACAAACTTTAGATTCTAAAGATTTTTTTTTTTTAAGAACTGTTCACTGAAAGATTCTTTGGGGAACCAAAATGGTTATTCTATGGCATGGTTGCCTAAAATCCTCTTTCAGAACTGTTATTATCAAGATTGTAGGGGCAGATTTTGATTGCAACTTCTGAAATAAAACATTTGTAGCTCCATTACTGGGGTAAAAACTTGAAAAAGGTGGATGTTGCATCATGCTCTTTCTCTCTTGCCTCATTAAATTGACTTAATAAATGTGAATGCTACAGCTTTTACAATCAAAAACGTAAACTATTTATTCTTTGTTCTTTTATTATCAAGCAAAGCATTTTCCCACCTTGCACTAGGCTACACAAAGTGGCAGTTGTAACGTTGTATCGTGTCAATCTGGGGGATGCATCTTGCATACTGCAGTTTAGTAAAGACGACCACAACCTCTGTAGGAAATGACGAGTGGAGCGACACATGGAGAGACAAAACCTCAAGTAACACATCGCAAAAACAATACAAAAGTCAATTTAATGATAAGGTTTCAGGTTTGACATTAACCTCAACGATTAGATTAAAACTACTAACATTTCAGAAGAAATCTCTACGACTTTACGCTTCACCTATTTATCTCTAGTTAACAGTTACAGATTATGAGGGAGAAATGAAAGCAATAACTGACCCCAAAATGAAAGTTATGTTCTTTTTAGACACTTTTAAAATTTCTCCTGTTTTGTGTAGGGGTGAGTGTGGCACAACCTAATGCAGGGCTAGTTGTAACACACTTGTTTTAAATACCTCCACACATGCCATTACGAAACTTTACTTAGTGTATTTACAAGTTGCCATTTCAACACTATATAGAGAAAAAATGGTGCAAAAATGTAGATATCTTTGGAAGATATCACTGAACATTTATTTAACCTTCGTTGACCTTTGTTTAATCCGAGATGCAGGTAATGCTGCAGCTCTGATTTTATTGGACTTGAGTGCGGCTTTTGATACAATAGTCTATAGACCATGTGATTCTCATAAAGCGGTGATCCCTATTGGTTGGAATACGTGGGACAGTTTTAAGTGGTTCAAGTCTTATCTTACTGATAGAGCATTCACAGTAAAGTATGGTAACTTTGTTTCAACAACAGTGCCTGTCACTTGTGGGGTTCTGTTATTGGCCCTATTTTCTTTTCTTTGTACATGTTGCCTCTGGGTTCGATTTTTTAAAAATATGTCATGTCTTACATTTGTACGCTGACGATACACAAATTTATCTCCCTTTGAAATCAGGAGAGAATTGTGGTTCTAACTCACTGTTGGCATGTCTGGAGGAGGTTAAACTGGATGCTGGATGACCCATAATTTGGTTAAGTTAAACCAGAGTAAAACTGAGATTATGCTTTTTGGCCCTGCCCAGAGGATGCTTCGGTATTGCAACATATTTTGGCGCATGGTCAGACTTTTGCCATGACCAAGTAAAAAATGTAGATGTTGTGTTTGACCTTTACAGTCTATGTGTTTGACCCAGAGCTGAAATTTGATAAGCAGATTAATGCCGAGGTTAAGAGTTGCTTTTTTTTCAGATTAGGACTATTACACATTTAAAGCCTAATCTGGTGGATATCAGGATAAAATATAAAACTCTGCTGTATGTTTTTAAAGCAGTGCATGGGGATAACTCCTGCTTATCTGAGCTTATTGCTCGTCATCAAGCATAGGTCTTCAAGATCAAATAATAATCATTGTTTTCTGTCCCTCAATCTCATTTAAAGTTAAAAGGTGATCAGGCCTTTGCTGTTGCTGGTCCGAGGCTTTGGAATAGTCTGCCTCTTAAACTAAGAGAGATCACTTCTTTAAATGTATTTAAAGCTTGTGTTGAAAATTATTTCTTGTCTTTAGCTTTTGAGAGGTTGGGCTAGTATCTGTATTAGGAAGTAGCATGTTGTTTTTATGTGTTGTTTGTTTTTATGCTGCTGATTGTACAGCACTTTGGTCTGCAGGTGCAGTTGTAAAGTGCTTTATAAATAAATAAAAGTAAGTAAAATAAGTAACCATTGCAAAATTAAAATTCATATGTTCATTTTTCATTTCTGTTTATTTGTTTATTTAAAATGAGACAAATCTGATACTATTTTAATCTTATATCTGTTATTTAACAGTTGAAATAGTTCTTAAATGCTGATCTAACCAGAAGATGACACTAGTCGGGTTTAAATCACAGTTGTGCAGATGTAGAATGTTGTAACACTGCGTTACAATGTGCCCCTATTAGAACTATTCTATTCTATAATTTTATGAATTCTATTGAGAAACCAGGTGAATGAATACCGAGAGTCAATTCAGAAATTATTAATTATTATTATGTTTTAAACTAGCTGTGTATTTTTGACAAGTGTGTTTGTTGTCAAACTAAAAAAATAGTTTATTTTTAATTATTAAAAAATGTCATTGTTTTACATGAAAAAGTTAATAATTGTATTTTAGTGAGAAAATATTTTAGTTTGTCTTGGATAATTTTTTTATTAGATCAGATAACATTTTAAGCAGTCATGGTCATGTTACACCATCTTGTCACATTTCACTTCCACACTGTATTAATAAAACAAAACCACATAATTGTAGCCGTGTGAAATTAATGCGGGGAAAATATAAATAATCTGAACCCTAGTTAACAAACTGAGGAAGTCAAAAAGCGTAAAGTTGTGCCTCGCTCATACGAGTTTTGAATGACATGAGGGTGTGTAAAAAGGACTTTTGGGTCTAAAAGACTTTTGTATTAAGACTGAAACGACTTAAAATTCCTTACATAGCGCACGCGTATTGGTCATGCGTAGATATCTTCAAATCTTCAAAAGGGCAGCAGTATCTGTAATCGCAGGTCCCACAGCAATGCCTCGAGAACAAACCCCCGCAGCTTATCGATGGCATGTACTCGTGTGTGCTGGTCATGTAGGCGATACAGTCATTGTCAAAACCTTAAAGAACAGGGGAAATGTGGCACATTTAATACAAATACAAACAACTGATTAAGTAACAAACAACTGATTAACTGCTGAGTAAATTATTTATTTTGTACTTGACAGCCATCGGTAAACTGCCCAAAAACAAGTTTAAAGTGTTTCTTTAGATTGTTGTAACAGCCCGTATAACTTACCGACTGTGACCGTGAATAAACCCGCAGACAGGAGCAGAAGAACCGCGACGGTGGAGGCCATAGCTCTTCTTCTGATGAAGCTGCTGCAGCATTACCAAATCCAACTGAGCCTCGTGCATTATACTAGACTTTCTTTTGTCCTGTTTCCCTGTCATCAACTGCACCTGCAGGCAGGGGCGGATCTAGAAAAATATTTGTGGGGTGGCAAGAGGGGGGCAGGAATTTTTGAGGGGTGGCAACATGGCAGACGTATATTTACTGAATTTAATCACAGTTAACACAGTTTGATGAGAAATCGTATGTATACACACTACAAATGGGCATTATTTGTATCTGTTTTGTGGGTGGGGGGGGGGCTGGACTGGGACAAAAAATCGGCCCGGGCATTTTGGCCCAGACTGGCCCATTACATATAATCATAAACACAACCGAACTTTGCACTCCCTTGAATATGTATACCAACTCCTATAAAAACCACTGAGTAAGAGTTAACAGATGAAATAACTACTAAGTTGAACTATACTCCACAGTGATGAATCCTAAAACAAGCTATAAGCTGCATTGGGATAGCAATACCGGTTCGGGGGCATGCTCCCCCGTAAGAAAATGTTGTGCTTTTTAATGTTAAATTCATCAATCTGGTGCACTTTGAGAGTTCAAAATAAAGAGCTCCAACCCATATTCAGTGTGCAAATTGAACAAAGAAAAACTCAAAACTCTTTTTAGTTGTGATATAGTGTCTGTCTACATTACACTACTATATAATAATAGTTATATTATAATATTATGGCCAGTCCAGCCCTGTGTGAGTATAAAGGCAGGGGTGCGTTTAACTTTTGGAGCCAAGGTGTGCCGACCTTTTTTCCCTTTTTTATATATTATGTTGTTGAGCACCCAACAAGAATCAATTATATCATTTAAATACTACTAAGATCCATATTACTATCACACGAGCCAATGGCAATTAAATGCACGGATGCATAACGTTAGTCAGATTAATGAATGAAATACAACTGTTCACGAACAGAAGATTGTATTGGACTCGTGCTGCATACATACGCAATGACAATTATGCCTACTGTAAATATAGAGTTACAACTACGATTAGAGTTGTTAAATAAAATACCCTGTGAACATTCACACATTTGCTTTATGATAGGCTAAAATTTATCTCCATAAATAGTAAATAATATTTTCTTAATTCTGCGCATGTTTTTTTACTTACTTACATCAATTGCTCGATCAATATTATTATCACATATTTTACATTTATATTTGTAACTGTACACAAACAACTTAATATAGCTAAGTTTGT